TAATCACGCGTTGCGTAGCCTTGTCTGACGTAATCACATTTTGCGTAGCCTCATCTGATGTAATCACATGTTGTGTAGCCTCGTCTGACGTAATCACATGTTGTGTAGCCTCGTCTGACGTAATCACGCGTTGCGTAGCCTTGTCTGACATAATCACATGTTGCGTAGCCTCGTCTGACGTAATCACTCGTTGCGTAGCTTCGTCTGATGTAATCATGCGTTGCGTAGCCTCGTCTGACGCAATCACGTGTTGAGTAGCCTCGTCTGACGTAATCTCGTCTGACGTAATCATGTGTTGCGTAGCCTCGTCTGACGTAATCACATGTTGCGTAGCCTCGTCTGACGTAATCACGCGTTGCGTAGCCTTGTCTGACGTAATCACGTGTGGCGTAGCCTCGTTTATTCGCATCAAACAGTCAAGAGGGAAACTAGATGGAAACAGTCTAGATTCCTATTTTTATTTTTTTGCGAATTTTGAAAAGTTTGATAAAAATTCACTCTACAACTGGATGGAAACATGATTATTCTCTCTTTCAGTCATGAGAATAAAGAAGTTACAGAGGGTTTCTCCTGGGATCCACTCTGGCCGTACCAGACTTACAGGCGGTGGGGTGGGGGGGCTGGAACAGGATAAAGGAGGTGGGACATGAATAAATTAAACCTTCAGGACCACACATGACAAATCACAAACAACCTCGCTRAAATAGCAAACCATCCACACCCAGAGTATCACAAAAAATAAATAAAAATGAAAGAAACACTAAACAGAGGAGAAAAGTGAGCAGCTCAGAGTTCGTGTCATGTCTTTGACTGCAGATAAAGTGTGCCACACACACTTCTGGGTGTCTGAGTCAAGCAGACAGGGAAAGCTAAAGCAAACAGGAGTCGTGATGCCTCAGTCTGTAATCAGGAGCATTACAGCTCCTGTAATTACTTCTAAACACTCATTTGGCTAATAACCTCAGCTCTCTGCGGTATATGAAGGGAGGAGTGTGACATTTTCTGTAATTTCTATAAAAACTAAAGTCTCACTCGTGTCTTTCATGTTAGATCTGACTCACTTCAATCCTTTGAGACTGAAAGTAGTGTTTCTTGAAGGAATACATTTCACCCGCCGCCTTCTGAAGTGAAGATGTCGTTTGATCTGTCAGATCTCAGAGTGCAGGTAAGGAATCACTCTCAGCTACTARCACACCAGACTTTAGCTCAATATCTGTGTTTGCCAATCTTAAAAGCAGTGTTGTATAAAGTAACACAAAGTGATACTTGAGTAAAAGTACAAGTATCTTACCAAAAAATTACTTTGGTAAAAGTTAAAGTCTCCTTTAGGAATATTACTTGAGTAAAAGTACAAGTATCTTACCAAAAAATTACTTTGGTAAAAGTTAAAGTCTCCTTTAGGAATATTACTTGAGTAAAAGTACAAGTATCTTACCAAAAACTTACTTTGGTAAAAGTTAAAGTCTCCTTTAGGAATATTACTTGAGTAAAAGTACAAGTATCTTACCAAAAACTTACTTTGGTAAAAGTTAAAGTCTCTTTAGGAATATTACTTGA